TCTCAAGGATGTGAAACAGTTTTAGAGGCTTGTAGGGAGATTGTTATATCTTTCTATGACTCGCCCAAACACTGCTTATGTTGTTGGTGTCCTCAGTCAGTTCATGCATGCACCTAGGTCCACTCATCTTGAAGCGGCAGAAAGAATCCTCCGATATCTAAAAAAGTTTCTTGGTGCTGGCTTGTTATTTCAAAGGCACGGGCATTTGAAAGTCGAAGTTTATACAGATGCAGATTGGGCTGGATCTCAAAGTGACAAAAAGTCTACTAGTGGCTACTGCACCTTTATAGGAGGGAACCTTATTACATGGAGGAGTAAAAAGCAAAATGTGGTGGCTAGATCCAATGCTGGAGCTGAATATAAACATTGAGTGAGTTGGGTTTCCCAGTGGACAAGCTTATGACTCTATTCTGTGATAACAAAGCAGATATAAACATTGTTGCTAACCCAATGCTACATGATAGAACAAAACACATCAAAGTTGACAAGCATTTTATCAGAGAGAAAGTCATCGCAGGCGAAGTATGTACTCCCTATGTCAGCTCTGAGAACCAACTTGCAGCATCTTTACAAAATGGCTACACCATTCTAGACATCATGATCTCTTTGACAAGTTGGGCATGATTGATATCTATGCCCCAACTTGAGGGGGAGTGTTGACAGATGTTGTACACATATGTTTAGTACCGCAAGGGTACTTTTGTAATTTCTTCATTTTTTATGTTGTACGACCATCCTAGTATAAATAATAACATACTGCACATGCCTGCAGCATTCTTTTGGGCTCTCAGTCCACTCACCTCTCCTCTCTTTCTCTTCTCTTGTTCAACATTTTGCATGAATAATTTAAAGCAGAAAAGGAATCACCGAAACCATTTATTTTATCCAGAAGTTGCATAATTGAAGATCACATGCATTTAACACTGGCCACCTCCCAAAACATTTATTCCCTGTTAACTCCTGATCTTGCAAGTGATTCTGTTAGAGTTTTGCTGATCTTGGCACCCATTTGACTATTGCTCCCAAAGCCCTTACCATATTGCAGATCTCTCTTAAGTATGCCTTTACAACCTTGACAGCTATTCCGTAACCACCCCATCTGTACTGGGAATACTGTCAAGTATTCTTTTTTTTTTTTTGTAAGTAATACGAATATTATTTTGATTCAATAATTCCGTAAGAGATATACAGTAAAAGCTTCCCACAAAGAGGCACGCGATGCAGCCTCAAAAGCAATACACAAACTTACAATTGAATAAAAAATGACTGATTCTTATGCACAACTTGCTTAGTTAAACAATCTGCCACCCCATTTGCAAATCTCCTTTTCCATAGAAAACTAGCTACCATATTTGTGGTTAGTCACTTGAATCTTCGCAAAGACATCCTAAAGGACCAAGCCACTATCTCCGGTTCCTTCAGCCACCTAATTACCAGTGTAGAGTTACCTTTAATTAGCAATCTTCTCATAGTCCTGGTCTCTAGCAATCTCTACTCCCTGTACTGCATGAACTTTCGCATTAACAGCACCCCCCACTCCAGTTGGACCTGAAAATAATGCTATAAACTACCTTCTACATTTTTGAACAATCCCCCAATACCAAAAGGCCCAAGATTGCCTAGACTACAACCATCAAAGTTTAGCTTGATAAATCCTTCTTCAAAGGGGCCTAATCTATCACAGGCTTATCTGTGACAGCAGAGCTTTTCGTAACCAGTTCCCAATTCTCCCACATATCATCAAAGGAAAAGTGTGAAAATAAGCCCGAGGCTTTTACCCAAATTACAGCCCTGTTAATTATACAATCCCAAACTGCAACCTCTTCTCTCTCCTTGTCATTGAAGAGTCTAGCATTTCTTTCCTCCCAAACTGTCCACACCAAAGTAGCTCTGGCACATCTGCACATGACCTTATCTCTTCTCTTAGGTCACCTAAAGGTTGTAGGGTCAAATAGATTGCCAATCTACAGATGCTCAGTCCACCTACAACCAAAAAGATCAAAACACTTTTCCCAAAGATCTACAACAAAGGGGCAAGAGTATACCAGTTTGGGGAAATACTAAGTCCAGGTCTTCTCTTTTGCAAATTGTCCAAAGTGTTTAGTTTTCTAGGAGAGACTTCCCAACAAAGAACTTTGAACTTAGAATGGAAAGGCTGAAGGTTAGGAACATAACACAAAGAAGAGAAAAAGGAAGAACAAGAGAACAAGCCCAAAGGGTTAGTATTGCCATCCCCCTCCTTAATCCATTGATGACTTGATTATTGCCTCCAAGAGATCTCTTCCCTAAGCAAAATCTCTTCCCTAAGCAAAATCTCTTCCAACATATATCAAAGTCCTATCCTCCTAACTTAATGATTCTCTCCTCAAAGCTTCCAAAGTGATCTCTATTCCACTCTTTAATTTGGCATTTAAGCCTTTGTGTCTTCCTATGGAACTTAGCTCCTTTCCACCAAACATCCCCCACTTCCTCATTCCACCATTCATCCACCTTGTGCACAAACTTTTGGTGTGTGCACCGCATATTTTCAACCCTAAACGATCTATGGTCACAAAGAAAGTCCTTAGTTCCAATACTAATCAGGTAATGATCTAAAGTGACTCTTGGAAAAGCCCTAGCTATCAACCCTATCCAATGTTTTTCCCACTCAGGATTGAAAACAAACCTATCCAACTTAGAACAAATAGGGGGGACTTGCAAATTGAACCAAGTGAGCATTATCTGCTAGAGGAGAATCTCTTTTAGTGCACAATCATCAATAAACTCATTGAACTTCCTCATACTAGTAGAGATCAATTGATTGGGATTATTTGTCTCATTTGTATTATTTTTTTTTTGATCAATAACACTTTCATTAATTCATCAGTAGAAAATTTACAAGTGGAAGACAAACACACTTATCTTCCAAGAGTCACAAAGAACTTCAAGAAAGAAAAGAAGAAAATACAAAGATACAAGGACACTAAACAAGGAATCCCTTTCTGCCCCTTGTTTTGCTAAACCGTCAGCTAGGGAATTAGCTGATCTCTTAATCCAACATGTCTTAATTTCCATCTCCCGCACCAGCCATTTGAATTTCCTCTTCTCATTGTTATACTTCCAAAGAGCTCCTCTCAGTCTCATTTGTATTATCAAAGAGCTCCTCTCACAGTCTGTCCAACAAGCCTCTAACATCAAAGAGCTCCTCTCACATTTCACCTCTCTCTATATCTATTAGGAGCATAAACATTCGACAGTACCCACATGAAGCCATCTCCTGTGTTTCTTGAATTTCAAAGAGACTGAGAACCGGCCTATTAATTCTTCCAGAGACTCCATCACCTCATTCTTCTATATTGTTACTAGACCCCTCGAGTCCCCACCCCCTCCATGATGGCAGAAAGGACCAACCGATTCCTCTAGAGCTCCAAACACTTCTCACCCATCACCTGTTAGTACATAAACCCACACTAGAGTATCTCTACTCCGCACAAAAGGATAACTAGAAATCACCAACAGGACACCTTTCTCTTGTTGAGTCCCAAAAACAATTGGGCAGTGATTGCTACCAACATGAAAGGAGTTATCTTCTTCCCTACCAACCCCAAAATAGGCTTCAGATAACATTGGTACAGTCAGGTTCTTTGATTTGTCATTGCCTTCTTCCTCCAAAAGGAAAAAAAAAAGAGCTTTTCAATATCAAAGCTATCCTCCTCTTGGAATCTTGGATTTCTATCCAAGCAAACACTGCCAATACTAAGTGTCTTAGACTCCTCTAAATTGATATCCTCTTCATTCAACGAATAAGCTCCTTCTAAATCTCCATTAAAGAGAGTTCTCCCACCCAATGCTTTTGGACTGTAACGAGAATCCGGGGGGGGGGGGGGCAATAATGGACCAGAGTTAGTGTCCATAAATGGCCCCTTAGAGTTTCCCACATGACCTTTTAAGTTGTCGCATGACCCAGCCCTTTTATTAACTAATGTGCCCGACCCACTTAAGTTACCCTTATTCCTCTCACAAGCCTTCCCCCTTTCATGTTTAGTCCCAGTCCTTCTTTTTCAATCAATGATGAAGATTTTATTACAAATAATAAAGGTGTTACAATAACATTTAAACATAGGTGTGAGATACAGCCCCCTTTACATGAATTGAATTACAATTGAGCCACTAACAGTTCAAACTAATGCACCTCTTGTCTTGTAAAAAAATCAGCTAACCCATTTGCTAATTGCCTTGCCCGTTGAAAAATGGTTATTATATCTCTAATTAGCCATTTAAATATTTTCACAGAATCTTTCTGGTTCCCTTAGCCACCTAATTTTTAAAGGTTGGGCTTCATTCTCTTTGGGCCCAATTGAGCACCCCACAAACGGATCAATTGATTCTGGTCTAGTACCTCTCTTTTGAAGATTCAAAAGAACTCATTCTCTATGTGTGCAAGTTGGGCAGGTTGGGCTGGGTTTGTGGTCAACCCTAAGATTTGGGCTTAAGCAGTGCATAGGTGAGGCACATTTTATGGTATGTGCCTCGCCTAGGTCCTAGGCACAGCCCTTTCAAAAGGTGCACACCTGGTGCGCCTAGGTGGCTTGTAGAATCAGGAATGTAATATGTTTTACATCACATTAGCTACTTGAAGTAATGCAATTCAGGAAAAAAGAGATTATGAGTTTGCATGCTTGGAAATGTTGTATATGTTTGGTTTTATTTTTAAATTTTCATTTGAATACGCATTACATCTTATGTTTATGTATTTTAGTTTTAGATAATAGGTTTTTTAAAACATTTATTTAAAATTTAAGTTTATATTTTTATTAATATTATGTTTATATTTTCTATTTTTTTGCAATTTTTTTGAATTTTCTGATATTTTTATTTTTTAGCTTTTTTTTTTTGTATTTCTGTGCCTTGCTTCAAAAAGGCATGTGCCTCACCTTCCGCCTTGCACCTCGGGCGCAAATTGCCCCTTGCACCTTTTTTGTGCCTTGTGCTTTTAAAACACTAAAGCCTAAGGACTGAGTCCGAGGTCAAGCCCAATCTTCCCAACCCAAGCCTAGCCTGCACTGTAATTTGATGCACTCAGCTTGGGCTTAGGCCCAAACCGAGCTCGGGTTGGTCAATGAACACAGTCTAAAATCACACATGTATGTATGCATTTATACAAATATTTATGTATATATCTAAATACATATCTATATATGAATGTATGTACGTACGTATGCATTTACACATGTATGTAAATAATCACGCTGGGCTTGGGCCAGGTTTGAGCTAAGGGGTTAGGCTTGAGCCTAGCCCAGAAATAACAAAACTCAGTCTTGACCCAAACCCAGCCCGAGGACCAAGATGATACGTATACCATGAAAAGAAAAAAAAAGTCAAGGACTTACAGATTCATTCCCAGTCAGATCAAAAAAGGCAGTTGGTCCTTTTTCATTTAGCATAAACAGAATGCTGCTTAACAGCAATGAGCAGTATTGCTGCCTCGTTCCAATTTTTTCACTGCGAAGAAGTGCAAAAATTTTGCGTATGTCCTTTCCAGATATGCTATGCCCACCAATTACCTGAATTAGTTGTGCAATTTTTAAAACGACACTTTCATTCACTTCTTCAGAAAACCAATCAAGAAGAAAATTAAGCATTCCTGCTCTGACACAAGAAGCACGATTGGAGATGGAATCCCTTAGCAGTTGCTGAAATACATTGAATCCATAATGCTGCAAAGAATCACTGCTCTGCCCAACCATAAGAAAAGTAACGATTCAGAAAGGCACAGACTCGTACAACCAAAATGTCACAACATTCAGATTTTTCAAAATTATGGAAATCAAAACTGGAAAGAAAAAAAATAACTAAACCCCACCTTCTGGAGAACACTAAAACATAGAATGATTACATCTTCATTCTGCACCAAAACAGATAATGGTGAAAAATTAACATTAGTGGCTAAAAATCCTGAATTCAGTTACAAGTTCCTATTCCTAAACATAAAACCAGAAAGAAGAAGCAACAGATAAGCTTAGATCTTATATCAAAAGAATACAAATTTTGTAGATTAGTTTCTTATAACTAACCTTTATTACAGGGTTCACTTTGATGTCAAACTTCCCATCAACAAGCATATCAAGCAGAGCATTTAGAAGCCCTTCACTTGGATGCCATTGGCAAAAGTCCAACAGCAAATTTTGCAACATCTCATAACCCTTCCCCACAAGGGTTCTGAATGCAGCCTGTGAAAAATAAAGAACTGAGGAAAGAAACACTACTGAATAATGAATAAAATTATGAAAAAATGGTGAGCCAAGAACAAAACTAAAGAGATACTTTCCCCTCACACCAGTCTAGCTGGCAATCAAACAATATAGTGAAGATGAGCAAGAAATTAAAAATGTTGATATTTATTCAATTTTCTTTGACAAAAAGAAGGATAACAACCAAACCATAGTAAATAAAGTGATGTTCATAAAAGGTGTTAGTTTCTAAAACATCAGTCCATTACATAAGGGCTTTTGCATTGATGCGGCTGTTGAAAAACATGGCATGTCCTCCTAGAAGTGCAATAATCAGCCTATTCTGCATAGGATTGGTAAGAATACATATTGATTATAGTGTTGAAGACAGAGACAGGAACACTTAATCGAACTTAGGGTTCAGAGAAGGTCTGATAGCAGAGTCCTCCAAGATTTCCAATCTGAGTTTTTTTTTTAGCTTGACTAGACCACATTTCCACGGTTTCCTTTAGTTTTCTTCTTTTTCTGATGCAATGTGCTTCTATCAGATGATTTATCTTAAGTTGGGTAAAAATTTTCAGTTTAGAGCATTCTATTATTGGCTTTTGAAGGAACTTTATTCTCTTTTATGTGTATGAACGTCAAACTTAAAGATGGTCAGTTAACTTTTATCAGTCAAAAACATAAAAAAGAAAGAAATCTACAAACAGGATAAGGGTCATTACCCAATAGTAGTCCATGCCATCCAAGGCCTTGGGAGGGGTGGACTGAGTAGACCCAAACCTCAGCAATTTTTTGCAGGAGAGCAGACCAAACCCACATTCTCATGCTTGTCAGCCCAAGATTTTACCATTGCACCAAACAATGGCCCCTAAGTTTACAGCCAGGATATTTATCATTTTTTATCAGCTGTAAGAATTATCCATAAAACGTAAGGGATCAAATAATGAGCCTTAGGGGATTAGTTTTATTCTATATAGAGGACCTTTTGAACATCCCATAGTTATTATCTGGCATGCAAGAAAGACCCCCTAACAAATATCTAACAAAAACATGGGCACCTAATATATATACTACTTTAAAAAGTACGAATAGCCTCAAGAATATTTCGGGAATTTTCTGAGGACAAAATTTACCCTTTATGTTTAAATTTATTGATAAAAATGAGGGCAAATAGGATAGTTGGTTATTCATATTAAATGAGTTGTAAAGAGGTAATTTCAAGATATTCAATTCTCTCTTATTAAATCTAACAATCAAGGTATTAATTTGCATTCACCTTCATTGAATCATATATCTAAGGTTTTTTTTTGTTTTTTCTCATCATTAAATTCTATAATTAAATCCATACATAATAAATTAATAATTCCATAACATAAAAAGTTATACTTTTAATATCTACCTGGAAAAAAAAATAGTGTTTTCATCTAGGTGGTGGTAAGAAATTAAACCATTTGGGCCAAATGGGCCAATCCGTGTTGCCACAATTAAATAATAAAATTCAAAAATATATAAAATGCAAAAAATATAGAAATTAAAAAAATAGGAATGTTTTTAACATCATATATATTATGATTCGGCCTGCCCTTGAGTTTTGTTAGTCTGATAACAGCCAAGAAGAGAGAAGAAGAAAGAAGAAAGAAAGAGAGAGAGAGAATAGAGGAGAAAAGGTGAGAAGAAAAGTCTGGTTCGAATGAGAGAAAAAAATTACCTCTCCCATTCGGCCAGACATGTTTTATATTACTAACATAATGGAAAAGACACATGTGCCCTTACTTAAGTAAGGGACACTAGTTCTAATATAATATTACAGATCAGCAACCTCAACATAAGTATAAAGACAGAAATACCCCTACATACTCGACACTAACACTCCCCCTCAAGCTAGCGAGTATATATCATATAATCCCAGCTAGTTACATATGTAGTCCACTCTTCCCCGACTTAACCCTAAATAAGTCTGCCCACTGGTTCCCTGTGTTAACATATGCAGTGTCTATCACTCCATTCAACACCTTCTCTCTCACAAAGTGACAGTCAACTTCTATTTGCTTGGTTCTTTCATGAAACACCGGATTAGAAGAAATATGAATTGCAGCCTGATTGTCACAGTAGAGCTTCATTGGAGTGTTAACATTGTATCCTATCTCCTGTAGAAGGTTCCTTAGCCACACTAATTCACAAGTAGTATGTGTCATAGCTCTATATTCTGCCTCTGCACTGCTTCTTGCCACGACTATCTGCTTCTTATTTTTCCATGTCACCAGATTACCCCCAAGGAAAGTGCAATAGCCTGTGGTAGACCTCCTATCAGACATAGAACCGGCCCAGTTAGCATCAGTATATCCTTCTATTTCAACTTTTCCACCACTTTTGTATATCAAACCATGACCAGGAGCCCCTTTTAAATACCTCACAATTCTTAGAACCACATCCCAATAAGGAACCAGAGGTTTCTGCATGAACTGACTTACCACACTAACCACAAATGAAATATCTAGCCGAGTAATGGTTAGGTAGTTCAGTTTACCTACAAGTCGTCGGTATCTGCCAGGGTTTTCAAACACTTCACCCATATCATTGCTCAGCTTAGTATTTGTTTCCATAGGTGTTTCAACTGGTTTAGCACCTAACAAACCTGTTTCCTCTAGCAAATCAAGCACATATTTCCTCTGACACAAATTAATACCATGCTTAGACCTTGCTACTTCTATCCCCAAGAAATATTTCAATTTACCGAGGTCCTTTGTTTGAAAATGTTCCTGTAGAAAAGTCTTCAACTTATCAATGCCCATTTTATCATTCCTGGTAATAACAATATCATCTACATACACCATCAATAGGATTTTTCCTGCTTGAGAGTCATGACTGAAGACTGAATGATCAACTTGGTACTGTTTCATACCAAACTTCTTTACCACCTCATTGAACACACCAAACCATGCTCGATGAGACTGTTTAAGCCCATAAATAGCCTTCTTTAGTCTGCATACCTTACCATCTTCCCCCTGAGAAACAAACCCCGGTGGTTGCTCCATATAGACCTCCTCGAGAAAATCACCATGCAAGAAAGCATTCTTGATATCAAGCTGATAGAGGGGCCAATCATACATAGCAGCAAGAGAGATCACAATACGAACCGAACCTATCTTAGCAACTGGGGAGAAGGTCTCTGTATAGTCAATAGCATAGGTTTAGGAGTACCCTTTTGCAACCAATCTAGCTTTCAGGCGCTCTACACTACCATCAGGTAAATACTTAACAGTATAAACCCACTTACAACCGACAGCCTGCTTCCTAGGAGGAAGAGTGATGAGGTCCCAAGTATGATTATGAGTTAGAGCTGAGAGTTCTTCCATTGCACGACACCACCCTGGAGAGGTAAGGGCTTCCTAGACATCCTTAGGGACAACAACTGAGGATAACAAAGAGATAAACTAGCGATGGGAAGCAGAAAGGTGAGTGAGTGAAACATAATTAGAAATAGGATGAAGGGTACAAGTGTGTTTACCTTTCTGCAAGGCAATGGGAAGATCAAGACCAGATACTGGGTTTGGGGCTGGTGTGGAGACAACTGCCGAATCTGTTGACATTGATGGAGCTGGAGGAGTAGCAATCGGTACATGTGGGCGATGTGTATACACTTGACGGATAGGTGGCCGTTCTGGAGGCAAGGACTTGGTCACAGCTGGAACAAGGGGAACAAAATCCGCAACTGAAAGTGGAAGAAGAGGAGGTGATGAGGAGGAAGAAGCATCACCAAACCCCAAGAAAAATGGAGTAGACTCAAAGAAGGTAACATCAACACACACAAAGGAACGTCGAGAACTAGGATGATAACACTTATACCCTTTCTGGGTCCAGGAATAGCCAAGGAAGATGCACTTGATGGATCGTGCATCTAACTTGTCCTTCCCAGGGCTCAGACTATGGACGAAGCAGACACACCCAAAAACCCGAGGAGAAAGAGGAAATGAAGGCAAGGTGGGAAACAAGGTAGTGAGTGGGGAATGACCATCAAGGATAGACATGGGCATCCAATTAATCAAGAAGCAAGAAGTAAGCACCGCATCACTCCAAAAGGGTTTGGGAACATTCATGTGATGCATGAGGGATTGAGCTGTTTCCAAAAGATGATGATTCTTTCTCCCAACCACCCCATTTTGTTGTGGGGTGTAGGTACATGAGGTCTGATTTATAATGCCATGTTGGTCCAAGTATTCTTGAAATGATGAAGAGAAATATTCACGRCCATTATCGGAACGAAAAATTTTAATGTGAACACCAAATTGGTTGCGAATCTCAGCATAAAATTTTTGGAAGATGGTAAACAATTCACTCATTTCTTTCATTAAATAGAGCCACGTCATCCTTAAATAATCATCAACAAAAATGACAAAATATCTATATCCATTGTATGACATCACTTTATAAGGACCCCAAACATCTGAATGAACCAATGAAAAAGGACTCAACACACGGTTATCAACCCCAGGACTAAAGGGAACATGATGATGTTTCCCCAACTGACACGACTCACAATCTAAAACAGAAAGTTGACTCAACGAAGGAACCAAAGACTTCAAAACTTTCAGCGAAGGATGACCAAATCGACAGTGCCCCTAGAGAGGAGAGAGAAATGACTGGAGAGCTGTTGATGTTCTTCCACCACCATAAAGATAATACAATTCACCAACTTCATGCCCTCTACCAATCTTCATCCCCGTCTTGAGATCCTGAAAAACACACGAAGAAGGGTAAAAAGTAATGGAGCAATTGAATGACTAGGTTAACTTACTAATAGACATAAGGTTAAACGGAAATTTAGGGACATACAAAACTGAGGATAAAGATAAGGGGGTCATGTTAACATTGCCAACACCACRAATGSAGRATGTRGAACCATTAGCAAGGGTAACAGATTGTGATGTTGAGCAATGAGAGAAGGAAAAAAACACACCTGGAGTTCTAATCATGTGATCGGAGGCTCCAAAGTCAA